AAAAAAAAAAAAAAAAAAAAAAAAAAAAATAACAATGCACTTGTTTTTTCAAGTCTTGAGCTCTCTGTTGGAGATGATGGAATGTATTTAACAGGTCGTGTTCCCCTCAGATGCCTTCTGCATCACTAGCCAATAACTACTCAACTGTTTAACACTCATTCAGACACTTCTTGCCAAATGTTACTCTGATCTATCAGAGCCTTCAGAAAGTAAAAAGCACCGATAGCCCTACAACAGCACAGGGAGTGAAAAACTTGGGAAAAAAGAAAACTAACAAGAAAGGTGCGTTGATTAAATGCTCCAACTGCTTAGCTTTACAGTTAACACTACCACACAACGTAGCAGGATATTTTAATCTAAGCACATACTTCCCTTTATTCATTTCTCTCATTACCCACGTCTACTATAGATATAGAATTGTGTTTTGATTGGTTTTCTGTGGTTTTTTTTAGCCACACACAAACATGCCTTTGTTGAACTCTATGGTAGGAAGGAAAATAGCTATAACGAAGACATCTCTCAAGACAATACACCACTGACTGTAAAATGATTTATACTTGTTAACTATTCCAAACCTGAACATTTCATATTGTAAAAAAGCAAGCATAAAGAATACATGTTACATTCATTATTCATCATCAGGTGCCCAAGTGCCTCTTCCTAACTGTCTGGATTTCCAAAGGACACTGAAGTTAATCAATCTGCACTGATATAGCTTTAAACATCAGGTGCCTATCCTGTCAAGAAGGAATCCTCATACACTCAACATAGCAGCAAATAAATGTTTTGTTTTTTGAAAAGCCTATTTGACAAATACTACTTGTAATCACATGGGACTACTGTTTGATTGATGTGGATAAGAGCGAGAACATGAACAACTTCCTAGCCATCAAAAAAGCCTATTTCTGAAGTAAAGAACATTTCATGAAACAACTGCTTTGTAGTGGAGATAAATATCAAGTCAACTGACGGCAGTTTCCATTTCAAAAAGACAGCAGAAACATCAGTTAAGAGCAAGATAGTATTAATGACCTAATGTATCAGAATTGCAAAATATAGCTAAATGTAACCCAAACACTTAAATGAGTAACTGATGAATTAAAGATTGTTTACAACATTATAATGGTTTAGAAACTATATTTTAATCCTACTTTAGATCTTTTTAATATAACACAGCCTTTAAGCAGGTAGGAAAGGAAATATAAAGTATTGATGTTACTGCTTCAAAGAGAAAAACAACTATTTTATTTCAGTTTTATTCATGAAGACAAAACCCTTGTGTATTATATTTTCCAATAAACTTTTTATTATCCATGTTTTGTACCACTTTACAGCAATAAAGATATTTACAAAAAATAAAATGCTGTTGCTTAATTTCAACAAAATACATGAAATTGCATACATATCAAGTTCCCTCTGTAGTAAGTTTCACATGTTAAAACCTAGATATTGTTCTACATGCTATACCATCACACTGAAAATCTGTTTGTATATCTCCAAGATAGCTGTTTTTCAATATACAGTGCTTTGGGCAAGGATGTTAAAAGCACCTAAATCAGTCTTTCAATGAACTATCTTAGGCACTTAGGAGCTTAAGTCCCATTTTAAAAAGTAGATAAGGTGCTTTTGAAAATTTTACCCATTAAATGCAATTGAAATATAAATGATCTAAACCCCAGTATTTCACGCAGTAAATTACTTTATTTGCCTGCCTCACTAAACCCAGTCTCCAAGCACAGAAGGAAAAAAAAAATGTTGAGAGAGAGAGCGCGCGCGCATATTCAGAAGGTTAACAGATCTGGTTTTGCCAAACTAGGGAGTTCCAAGACAATCCACCTTTTCATAGAGAATACCCTGCCAGGAGGGACCCACACCCAAATGTGGGGGAATGGAGGGTTGGTTTAACTTGAGCACCGTCACCATCTACATCTTTTGAAGTATCATAGGCAGCGAAGTGATCTCTTAAAGAACCAGGACCCAAAGTATTTAGAGCTTTCCCTTACTCCTTGAACTCCACCAGTGCAGATCACATAACACCAGTGGTTTGCTCCTGAGCTAAGGCTCTGTTCAGCAAGCTGACAGAGATATTCTCTAAGTTTCACTTTCCAAATGGTCTCAGTGTGTAGCCCCACACAGAGAACATTACACTAGTCTAGCCTTGAAATGACAGAGGCATGGATAGTTGTACACCTCTACCCCGATGTAACGCGGCCCAATATAACACGAATTCAGATATAATGCGGTAAAAGCAGTGCTCCAGGGAGGGGAGGGGGGCCCTGCACGCTCCGGCGGATCAAAGCAAGTTCGATATAACGCGGTTTCACCTAGAACACGGTAAGATTTTTTGGCTCCTGCGGACAGCGTTATATCGGGGTAGAGGTGTTCTAAGGTTCACATAAAACCATCCAAGTTGCACTGGCCTTGTCAGGTGCAGACAGAAAGTGGTCTTCGTTACAGATAGAGCTGCCTGGGAATCCGGTAGCAGCCTAGGAACCTAACAATACTCCCAAATTGGGAAGCTGTTACAAATTGCAGATCTTCTTTCTGCTACTGGTCTGCCCTGAGCCTCCCTTCCAAGTCTGCAGCCCCTTACCTCCTATGTGGTCACTACATGCAGGCAGTTTTGCGGGACAGTAGCATCAGGAGGAATCAGTGCTGGCATGTGCTGAACACTGGTCACAGGCAGGTTTGCGAGGCAGCAGTCAGAAGATAAATCCCAGCATCTTCCTTCCCTGACTGCAGCCTTGAAAACCTGCCTGCAGGTGGCACCTTTCTTCCAGGATAGGTTGCTAATAAGTGGCACGCTGTTGCTAATATCCAAATCCTATTAATACAGATGTTAATGGGATGGGATTGATTTCCAGTAAAACATTGCAATTAACCAGAAGTTGCATGGAGCCGTGAAATTGACAAGAATGACAGCCAACAACCAATGTAAATAATGCACTGTCTACAGAGACACTGCGTAGCCCTAACTACACCAACATGAGAGATGTAGGGTTTGAGTTATGTCTGTGTAGAGCACTTACTTCGGCAAGAGCAAGGCTGTAGCCGATACACTGACATAGGTTGATATAAGCTGCCTTACGTTGGCCTAGCTGTGTACTGTAGATCAGGGCTGAGTTATTCACTGAGCTCTACATTCAAGGAGTGGTCCTCTGCTTTATTTGTAGCTCCAAATTTGCAGTGTGTTGGGGAGGAGAGGAAAGAACAAGACAGATCCAAGACACTGCAAACTTCCCTGCTCAAACTGCTTTCCCGGCTTCTGTACATCCCCAAAGCATTGCAGATTAAACACTTTTAAACTACACCCTTTCAGAACACTGAACTGATAAAAATTTAAAGTCCAGCAAATTTCAAGTAATGTGTCTGCTCATTAATTATAAAGTAATAAAGTTCTGCAAGTTAGTGTCAATGCCTCAATTCCCAATCCTTTGATTCATATTAGGAATAGGTTTATTAAAAAGATATTACTGACTGTAGATGCTGTCATTCATCTTTCCACCACCATTTAATGTTATCCTGTCTCAGAACAATATATGTTGCTGGTTGATTTACCAGTCTGCTTCTGGAAAGCATCCAGTGTAATACAATGGAGTAATCATTTTGTTCCACATTCTAGACTGACATGCATATCTGATAGCTGGTCATCCAGATATTTCTGTACCTTTAACACCAACCTGGCCACCAATTACTGTGGGATCAACAAAAGGCAGTGAGCACTAAATACTTGTTCTCAGAGTCTTCAAAACGGGTTTGCTGCTTAGTACTGGAGGCTTCTGCCAAGGTTGCTTTGAAGATGGAGCAAATATCCAGCAGAAGCATCAACTGTCATCCTCTCAGGAGGGAAGACTTCAGCCCTGGAGTACTGACAGAACTATGCTGGTTATCTGAATTTAGCCAGTTAGCTATCCTTCTCCCCTCAGTGACATCATACTCACTCCTTCAACCAGTAAGGGCTGGTCTTCACGGGGGGGGGGGGGGAAATCGATCTAAGATATCAGGGCCAGCTCTAGGATTTTTGCTGCCCAAAGCAAAAACAATTTTGGCCGCCCCCCGCCCCGGTTCTTTAATTGCCCCGCCTCAACTCCGCCCCTTCCCCAAATCCCCAGCCTTGCCTCCTCCCCCCACGCTCTCAAGCCTAGGAGGGAGGGAGGGGGAGAAGCGGCGCCCGCACCGCGGCCACTCGGAGTCTCCCCCCCCCCCTCAGGTTTGAGAGCCTGGGAGGGAGGGATGGAGGGGGAGACTCCGAGTGGCCACGGCGCTGGTGCCGCTTCTCCCCCTCCCTCCCAGCCTCCCAAGCCTGGGAGGGAGGGGGAGAAGCGGCACCAGCGCCGTGGCCACTCGGAGTCTCCCCCTCCATCCCTCCCTCCCAGGCTCTCAAACCTGAGGGGGGGGGGGAGACTCCGAGTGGCCACGGCGCTGGTGCCGCTTCTCCCCCTCCCTCCCAGCCTCCCAAGCCTGGGAGGGAGGGGGAGACCCTGATTCGCGCGCCATGGCAGCAGCAGCGGAGGTGAGCTAGGGCGGCCGGGGCACATTTTTAGGGGCGGCATTCTGGCGCCGGCCATGCCGCCCCTAAAAACGTGCTGCCCCAAGCACCAGCTTGTTTTGCTGGTGCCTAGAGTCGGCCCTGTAAGATATGCAACTTCAGCTACGAGAATAGCATAGCTGAAGTCGATGCATCTTAAGATCGATTTACCTCGCATCCTCACGGCGCGGGATCGACGCTCTGGTGGAGTTTTGGAGTAGATGGGGAGCACGTTCTACATGAGACGCGATAAATCGATCCCCGATAGATTGATTACTATCCAGCAAGTAGTGAAGCTAAGCTAACAAGGGTCCTCCAAGGCACACAGTGTACCAGTTACAAGACACCTAATCGGCTACTTATACACCTCTACCCCGATATAATGCGACCTGATAGAACACAAATTTGGATATAATGTGGTAAAGCAGCGCTCCGGGGGGAGGGGGGCGGCGTGCGCGACTCCAGTGGATCAAAGCAAGTTCGATATAACACGGTTTCACCTATAACGCAGTAAGATTTTTGGGCTCCTGAGGACAGCATTATATCAGGGTAGAGGTGTACAGCCTTTCTAAACCTAACACCTCTATACAACACCAACCCTTTGCACACTGCTTTACACAAGTGACATGATTCTGCCTGAACACTTTACAATCTAAATTAGACAAACTTAGTACAGATGGGTAGGGAACAAAAAAAAGCAAATCAAAGCAAGAAAATGGAGCATATTCTGATATTTATATAGCAAATGAGCTATGTAAGAAGGGAGGAGTAGACAGCACAGGAATGGACGTCAGTGGACAATTAGGCAAAAAGTGGATTTAGGAGGAGAGATCTGAAGGAGAGCAAGGATTCTTGGTGCACAGAAATGGTAATGCCTTCCCAGGCATAGGGAACAGAGTGTGACTAAAAAGGAAGGCAGCAAGAAGGAGATAAGATGGGAGAAATGGAAGATAAACTTTTTGTACTGACAGGATTGGAGCCTTGCCAATCTTAAGTTTTATTCTGAAAGACGGGGAGCCACTGATGGGGAGATGAGAGTTGAGCAGTCCAGATGAGCGCGAGGGAATACGACATGAATGAGTTTTGGCAGTGGGGATAGGGGCTGGTTTTCAAAGCAATTAGATTTGTATAGAACAAATCACAAGATAAGCTCAGTCTTGAAGTTGAGTGACAGGAAGTACAGTGGAGTTATCAATCAGTCAAATCACAGGGTATGGTGAGAAGGTTAGGAGGAATGAGTCCAGTTTGTCATGTGTTTTGGAAAGCAGCAGGATAGCTATGAGGAAACAGAAAAACAGAAAGGCACAAACCTTAGGAAAGAGGGGTAACAGGTAGATTTGAGAAAATCCCATGTGAGCAGACAAGATCACTCAGGGCGAGGGGGAAGAAGGGAGCACCAGAGAACAGGATCCAATGAAAGCAACACCAAAAGAAGGATAAGTGAACCAGCAAAGTAAAGAATCATGGAAGCCCAAGAAAGAAGATAATCTGGAGAAGTGAGTAGCTGTCAGAGACAGCAGAGTGATTATAGATAAAATACTTAAATTCAGAATAAGTCAGTGACTCATGAGGAGAGTTTCAACCAGAGTTGGGAAGGACTGAACTGGAGGAGAGAGTTGCAAGTGTGTTGTAAACACAGATCTATCAATGAAAACCAACTAAAAGTCACACTAAAAAGACACAGTATAAACCCAGATACAAGAGAGAACATCTTTGTGACAAGTCTCAGAGGTATGACTTGTGTCCCGAGAACGTTGTATGTTCAGTATATAATGTTACCTTGGAGTGCTACAATGCAAGCATAAACTTGCAACAGGGAGGCAAGGAGATAATCTAGATACAAATCTATTCTAAGGATACGATGGATACGATACATGGGTATCCAGCCACAGATATTTCTCTCTACACTTTTCTGAACTGCAAATGAGGCCTAAAACCTCAGTTTTGCCTATTTTTTTTTTTTTTTAAACCAGAAAGGTAGCTATAAATAAACCACATTGCATGGGCTACACATTGGAAGTTAGGTATGAATGGAATTCCACCTTACCTAGAAATGTATGAATGATAAACAGACTTAAATTACACCTAAATGGAAAAAAAATTGAAAGGAACTGTCAGCATGAAAGAAAGTGAAATGTACAAAATTATACAGGAGGCAACAACCACAATGTTCTGAGATAGCTTAAGACATGGTTCTGCAGAATACCACACTCCACAGGGCATGCTATTGAATACAGATCTACAGCACTGCAAATGTGTATGGCCACTGTAATTAAGAATACAGTAACTGGTATGATGCTTCCCTGAAGTATCTTTGACACCATTACTCCAGTACTAATGATTTGTAATTCTCAGCTCACCCATCATTGCCCCCCAGCTACTCTATTCAGGAGAGCCATGAAAACGGAGTGTGAAATATTGTTTCCACAAGTGCTATTCTTTCCCTGTTCAAACAAATGTTTCATCAAGAGTACAGACTTCTTTTAATACTTACTATTACAAGAGACAGGATTAATTCCTGGCATGGAGGCTAAAAGCGTTTAATAATATAATGTGCATATTGTGATAAATTCTGCAAGGTCTGGTGCATCAGTACAATACTTTCAATTTGAGAGCATGGTAAGTTTTAGATACTTATTGCCATTAAAGAAATGGAAAGATGCTACTTTAATAGCAAAATGAATAGAACAGTCTCCTCCCCCTTTTCATTAACTTTAGTTGCTGTCAGGGTGACTGAATTATGGCTGAAAACTAGGTAAAAGGGGGAGCAGTGACCATATCTTACTGAGTTTTAAACGAAGCCTTATATTTTGTACTAGCTCTCAGCTTTTCTTCTGGTTAAACACAATGACATGATGGCAGTGTGTGGGATTCAGCAAGGCAACCACAAAGAAAGGAGCAGAGTTACTATAGGAGAAAAGTAGAGGGAGCTAGCAAACAGACTTTTCAAAGAAACATTAATTCATTCTAAAACTAGACTTCAAACTGGTATAAGATGTCTACCTACACATCCTGTAAATTGGTTTCTTTGCAATATTTACATATTCACCTTAAATTTTACATAGGAAAGTGGTAAACATATCAATCACACCTGTTCCCCAGTGTAGGTAAGTGAGAAAATTAACATGTCTAATAAATACTGTTATGCAATTCATAACTTAAGGAAAATATTTAAGAAAATCTGCAGTTCAGTAGTTAATTCCCTTCACAATACAAAAAGTATAAAAGAACAGGAATGAAGAGAATGATAACATAGTATACTGATACGTTGTTCATGGTCAGTTTGTACAATTCTAATGTACTATAAGTATATATGCCCAAACAAAAAACTAACCTTAGGATCACTCTCTGTATCCTCCTCTTCCTCTCCCTCCTCTTCACCTTCCAATTCCTATGATAAAAGAAAGAGATTAACAGGAATTAAAATCAGATTAAAGCAACTGCTTACGGTGCACAAAGCCAACTATACAGTGCCTTCTATTGCATTCCTGTGTGTGTCAGCTGTGAAAAATAAATCTACTTGGGTTGGACGAGACAACCAGTCATCTGGTCCAGAAAGTCTCAAATGTCAGTGTGGATCTGAATGTAACATTCCTGTGGAAGTTACTGCAATTGCACAGAATTTATTATTATTATTATTTTTTTAAAGTGCAACACAATTCTGAGTTTTGTACTTCTGAAAAAAACAGCTAGTGGGTCTGATTTTGTTCCTCCATTTCAACCCTTATCTCATCTGTTTCTTTGAATAGTCATGTGCCCCACGCACATGCTTCTTCACTACACCTGGATCCTTTCTGTTCTTCCTCTTGCACATGTCTTACCTCAAGTTGTAGTATCTCGATGGAGGCAGATAGTCTAGCTCAGGGGTCGGCAACCTTTCAGAAGTGGTGTGCCGAGTCTTCATTTATTCACTCTAATTTAAGGTTTGGCGTGCCGGTAATACATTTTAACGTTTTTAAGAAGGTCTCTTTCTATAAGTCTAGATATTGTTTTCACCCCTCAGCTCATAGAGAGCCGAGAATAATATATAACTAAACTATTGTTGTATGTAAAGTAAATAAGGTTTTTAACATTTTTAAGAAGCTTCATTTAAAATTAAATTAAAATGCAGAGCCCCCTGGACTGGTGGCCAGGACCTGGGCAGTGTGAGTGCCACTGAAAATCAGCTCGCGTGCCACCTTCAGCATGCGTGTCATAGGTTGCCTACCCCTGGGCTAGCTCTTTCTCATCTGCTTTTACAAGAGTTAAAGCTTTTCGCTGCAAAAAAACTGGGACTCCTGGGGAAGCAGGGGAAAAGGAGGCAGCATGATGTGATCTGCTAGGTCAAAGGAGGCCACCAGTCTAAGAATTGGTGATGTACTGCATTCCAGTACTTGATTAGGTCATACTACCATGGCATCTTTATGAAAAAAAGACTCTCAAGCACATCATAGTGAAAGGGGCAAAAAGCAAATAGTTAATATCTGTCAAAGGCACTGATTTGTCCCCAATGTTGCTTTTATATTCATTTTAGCGCAGAGATTTTGTATAGAGCCTATCATCACTATGTTTGTGCTCTAGTAACACTGGAAAAAAATTGATTACAGTGGTTGCCATAATACAAAACTGCCTGTGAACCCAATTAAACTCATTATAACAATTCTTAATTAAAAGGATGTATTTAATTTCCGAGACGACCAAGCCTCATCCCTAGAACAGTTAAAACAGACAGTTCACAAGTCTTGTCCAGTGTGTCCCCCCAGCGTGTAACTAGGATTGAGTTTCCCATTAGCCTTCCTTACAGCCCAAGGTTTAACTTGGTAAACAGGTACACAAAAGATTTTTCAGTGCAATGCAATCTTCACATCTGCCCACAAAACAATTTCAACATTAAGTCATGGTTAAAAAAATGGACGTGACAATCAATTACTCCTTTGCCAAGGGGGGAGGGATAGCTCAGTGGTTTGAGCACTGGCCTGCTACAACCAGGGTTGTGAGTTCAATCCTTGCGGGGGCCACTTGGGGATCTGGGGCAAAATCTGAAGTTGCTCCCGCTAGTTAAAGCAGAG